AGGAGGGAGGGAGGGTGGTGTGTGTGCGCACACACACACACACACACACACACACACACACACACACACACACACTCTCTCTCTCTCTCTCCACTTCAGTTTTAATTCTTTAATTCTAAAATGCCTCACCTGTCCTGGCTGGAGTCATTATCCCTCGGGGAACTTCTTAAACGGAGATCTTCTAGCTCGGTTTTTTTATTTCTGCGGCTGGCGCACGTCCCCGCAGTACCTCGACAGTGGTGCACGTGACAAAATGTATTCCGCATGTGGGTGGAAAAAAGGAGAGGGAATCTTGTCGCTCACCTGCCGGGGCCTGGGGCCCCTGCTGAGTTTGCCAGCACAGCGGGAGGGATGGCGACGGGCAGGGACGCCCAGCCAGGAGCGGGGCCGAGACCCCCACAAACTCAACTCAGTTACCAGAGTGCAGCTGAAGCCAGCCAGGGCCCACCCCCCCACCAGCCGTCCAGCTCCAACCCCGGTGCCGCAGGGCACCCTCTCCACCCCTGCCTGACCCCCCCCCTTTGTGTTTATCCCTCCCCAGGATGTACACGACAGCAGAGGGCGACCGCGTGACCCCGTCCCCGCCCGACGCCACCAGCTGCCAGCAGCTCCTGCCCGGCAGCCGCTTCCCGTCCTTCCTGCACGAGCAGTACCCGCTGCCCCAGAGCCGCTACTACAACGGGGAACCGCTGCAGCACAAGGAGCACCCCCGCTGGTACTTCGCCTCCCAGCAGCCCCCCACCGCCCCCCTGGATTACGGCGCCTACGAGGGCAGCTACGGCGGGAACAAGTACATGCCCTTTGGCGTCAAGGCCTTCCCCCTGCCGGCCTCGCCCCACGCCACCCTGCCCTACTACCAGGAGCCCCACCCCTTTGGCTCGCCGCCCGCCGCCTGGCAGCCGCCCGCCAAGCCCAGCCCCGGGGCGCTGGGCTGGTTCCGGTCCGTGCGGGACGTCCGGCCCCTGCCCGCCAGCGAGGAGAAGGGGAAGGACGCGGAGGGCTGGGCCGAGCCGGCCTCGGTCAAGTCGGTGGACTCGTCGGACTCTGGACTCTTCGAGGCGGAGTGCAAGCGGCGCAGGGTGTCGCCCTACGCCTCCAGCGCCGAGAGCTCGCCCCCCGCCCGTAACGGGGACCTGTACGACAAGGACGGGGGCGCCGACCCCGGCTACTACGGCTTTTACGGCAACTGAGGGGGGCGGGGAGGGAGCGTTTTCCTGGTGCTGCGGGGCTGGAGCTCCCCCGCCCCCCAAATCATATCAGATGTCCCCAGGGAAAGGGCGCGACGGGGGGCATTTGCTGCAGACAGACGCAGCAGAGAAGGTGAAGGTGGGGGGGTGAAGCTTCTCTGGGCGACTTGCCCCCCCCCAGCCCCCCGGTGCACAGTTCAAGCCCTGCCCACACAAATGTTACTGTTTGTTGGCGGGGGGCAGGGTGGGGGTGAGCGTGTGCCCGAACTCAGTGTGTGCCAGGCTGGGCCCTGCTGGCCCGTGTTTGTGCAACGGCACATGTGCACACGCCCTCGTGCGCCTGTGGTTGTAGTCGTGCACGCGGGAGAGGGGGGGCAGCCCCAGAGGTGCTCACACCCATGTGCATTTACACACTAGCCCATGCCCCAGTCACGCACAAGCACATGGGCACACCGTGCTGCACGCGCCTGTTCCCCCGCATTGGTCACACATACACAGGGGGGCTCACACATGAGAGAAAAATGCCCACGCCTGTGTGCCCATGCGTGCTTCTGCACTGGTGGCCTGACACGCTCCCCTCTATTAAATTAGGCAAACAACCAACAAAGGCACCCCCCCAAAGCACCAACAATGCAGTTACCCTGCAGCCAGGAGACCCACCGAGGCTGCAGGCCTGGCCTGACCCTGCTTATCACTGATGCCCTGAGCGCCTGTCTTGCCATCCCCAGGCCAGGGTGGGCTGGGCACAGGGGCACGTTTTGTTTCCCCACCTCCACCCCAATTGCTCAGTGCTGCCCTCCGGTGGCAACCAGTGGTGGCGGGAGCACCCTCCTAGCAGCCTCATTTCCCCCCATTGCAGCAGGCACCTTCTGGCCCCCCCCACTTCTCCCCGAGCGTGCAGAGGGTTCGGGCATGACGGGGGCCTGGTCCGTGCCCAGCGCAGCCCCCTGCAGAAAGGCGCCAAACCACATGGGTGGCCTCGGCTGCTCCCCTGTGGCTCTGCTGGGTCTGGCAGTGGGCAGGAAGGCCATGCTTGGGGGGCGGGGATGAGTTTTGCACCAACCTTACCTCAGCCACCGGCAGTGACCCCGGGCTGGTCCCTGCCCTCAGCTCAGGGGAGCAACTAAAGCAAATTGGGGGGGGGGGGTGCCATACCTGACAAGCCCTGGAAACTGAAAGGCTCTGCCCCCTCCCACCCCCCAAGTAAGAACCCTCAGCCCCCTCCCCGTCTGGCCTGTCTCTTCACCTCACCTCAGGGGCGCCTGGGGTCCCCCAGCTCACGGGGCAGAGGCCCCCGCTGCCCCCACGGGCGCTACGAACCAGCCGTGCAAGGGGGCAGGAGCAGACTGGTTCACTGAGGCCGGCCTACAGTGCCCATCTGCCCGTGGCAATGCAGCCATCGGGACGAGGCACCTACATTGACAATAGGGGCACTGCCAGCTTGGGGGGGGGCATCCCCCCCACATCCCACCTTCTGAGCCCTCCAGCTCCAACTTGGCACTGTGGGGAGGGGGGATGTTGCCTTTCACCCCCAGCCAGCCTAGCCTGGCCCCCCCATTCCTGTCCTGTCCCTCGGCTACGGGCAGCCCCTGTGCGCGTGAGTTTGGGTTTGTGGCGTCCACAAGGGAAGGGAAGGAAAGGCGAACGGCTGCCGCTGAACGTAAGCCCTGGACTTACGGCTCTGCCCAGCAGGCCCTATGCTGAGGCCCTGACGGTGGTGCTCCTTGGGTGGGGGCTGTCTGAGCTGCCCCATGGGGAGGGGGGTCGTTGGAGGGTAAAGGCGCCCCATTCTAACACAGCGGCATTGCCCCGAGCCGTTTAGCCAGGCCAGAAAGCAGGGCACCCCCCCAGGATGTGCAGCTCAGAACGCCGCCGGCTCCCTGACCCCTCTCTCCACGCGCGCGGATGGGTGCTGCCCCCCGAGCGGCTAACTCCAGCCTTGCTTTGCAAAGCCATTCGGGGTGGGGGGGGGGGAAGCATCAGCCAGAAATATTCATGGATCTTGCAGCATTTCAGAGCAGGGCAGCCTGCTGCTCCCTCCACACGGCTCATCCCCGCGACCAGCAGGGCGGCGCATGGGTGAAGCCGGGCGATTCCCCGCGAACCAGCCCCCCCTTTGCACCCCAGTTCCTGGCCTTCCAGGAGGCTTTGCTCGCCAGTGCCCAACCAGCAGGGAGCCTGCCCCACAAAACCCTCCACCACTCAGCTACGCACCTAACGATTCGGGGGGAGCGGGGGGAGGCAGGGGGTTAGTTACACGTTAAATGTTATTTTTCTCTCCCCCCCTCCTCGGGGCATGCCCCTGGACCTGCAATATTTGAAGCCTCTAGCCTGGGAACACTGGAGGTGGATTTATTCAGCCAGACAATCAGAGGACAGTGCCAGCCTGTTAGCAGCAGGCCCGGCCCTCCTTGCAGCCCACCACCCTGGGCTGCCCCCACTGCGGGCACGGGCCAGCGCCAGCCCTGCCGCACTCGCCCAAACTGTTTACACGCCGCCACGTGTAGGCGGCGAAAGGTGCAGGTCTGTTCCGGGGGGAGGGGGGGGTTGTTTGTTTGTTTTTTAAGAAAAAAATCTTTACTTTTGAAAATATTTATTGACCCATGTACAGATTCTACACGTTCACCGTGGTTTGTTTTTTGCTTAAGACTTTCTTTAAATAAACTATCAAGCTGTGGCGCCCGCGCTGTGTCTGTGTGAGCACCAGAGACGCGGATGCACCGCGCGCTCGGGGGGTGGGGAGCTGAGCCTGGCTCGATGGGACCAGGTGCCACGCCAGCCAGGCGTATGGTGAGTACCATACGGTGGCAGGCGGGGGAGGGGGGGTTGTGTATGTGTGTTGAGCATATCTGGATGCATGTAGTCACATGTACTTGTGTGTATGTGTAGTATGGCTTGTGAGTGTGAGCATAGCTCTGTGTGTGTGAGAATAGTGAGTGTCCAGGCCTGCGTGTGTGTGATTTGCAGTGAGCATGTGAGAGAGAGACACACACACACACACACACAGCAATAAGGGGTGTGCAACCCCAGCCGTGCGTGAGCGGAGCACGTGGGTGCACTGAGCAGGCAGACATGCAGGCCTGTGCCTAGCAAGTGTGCAGGGCGTGCGCGTGAGCATCCAGGTGAGAGGGGGTGCAATGCGTGCATTTGCACACCCGCACTAGTGTGTGTGGCGGGGGGGGGGGTGGTACGAGCATCTGTGTCGCTGCATGAGCGCCTATGGGTGGAGCTGAGCGGGTGCGTGCACACGATGCGCAGGAGGTGAGCGCAAGCGTGCAAGAGCCGGCGAGTGGTGAATCTAGGGCTGTGAACTGGGTGGAGAGAGCTGATCACTGCTCAGAGCCAGGCAGGGAGCCTGCAACCCCCCAGGATGGACGGGCCCCATCCCAGGCAGCAGCCTTGGGGAGAGGGGGGGGCCACACCCCACACGGGTATGTTAGTCCCTCCCAGCACCAACCTGTTCAGCAGGCCTGGCCCAATACTCAGGGTGGCAGCAGCTCGCCTGGCCCCAATCCCTTGTGCTCATGCACTGACGGGTGTCTGCTAGGCGTGCACCAGGAAACCTGCCTGGGTCCTGCACCTTCCAGCTGGGGCTCTCCAAGCACTTCACACCAGTGAATTAGCTCTAGGCAGCCTGGTGAGGAAACTGGCAGAGACAAGTGACTTGTATCCCGAGGCCAAATGGGGACCAGAACCCAGGAGACCTCACTTCGACTACCTCCCCCTTCCTTCAACTAACCCCTGGCCCCCACTCTCCTCTCGCAGCTGGGACCAGAACCCAGGCGTCCTGGCTGTCAGCCCCTCGGCTCTAACCCCTAGGCCACATGAACGAATGAAGCCTCCTGCTCTCGCTAAGAAACCACGGTGGTGCAAGAAGGAAAGAACCCCGTAGACAGGAGCCCGTGGGTGGGCTGGAGGGGACCTGGTTTGCAGAGAGGAAGAACCTCCCCCCCCCAAGTAGGGTGGGGGAGAGGAAAGGTGGGGGCGAGGGGGGTGGTGGTGAAGGAGACTCTCCACTCAGGCTCTTCCGGATCCTTTATTAGGGGGTGGAATGTTTGATCAAACAAAAGGCCAAACCCAGCCCGACAGGGCCTGGAGGGAGGGTGTGTGGTCTGCCTGCCTGCAGGCTGACCCCAAGCCACACGGGAGATCCTTGCCCCCCATGCTGGCGGTGAGGGAAGCTCCACGGTGCCCCCTACGGGTAACTGAGGGGAGCACTCCAGCATCAGAGCCCAAGGGGTCCTTTCTGAACCTGCACGGGAGAGAAAAGGGCTGCCTCCGGTCCTGAGCAGATTCGGGGGCCCAAGGGGAACAACTCCCAGCTCTGCAGCAGAGAACACGCCAGCACCGGAACAGAGGGGTGCCCGAGGGCGCTACAGCCAGTCATTAACGCCCACGTCCTGCCCCTCACCCATCCGTACAGCCCTGGGCGAGCCAGGAACTGAACCTTCCCAACTCTCCTCAGCTCTAACCACTAGACTCCACTCCCGGCCTGGAGCTGGGAATGGAACCCAGGAGTCCTGGCTCCAACCATTAGGTAACACAGCTGCTCAGGTCATTGCCTGGATGCTCCTAGCTCCAAGGCCGGGGCTATGCTGAGGAATGGCTTTTCCCTGCAGGAAGATCCGGGCCCCCGCTATGCAGACAGTCCCATCTGCTGCTGTTCACTCGCCCCCGGATTCAGGCCCCTCTCTGCACAGTTTTGTTAAATTAATACAAAGCATTTGAAAAATCAAAGCTTCCCCCCCACCCCCCGGATCACGGTGCCCCCCGTGGGGGGGAAGGCAGAAGTAAGTGCATTGGGTTGGCACCCCCAGCAGTCCCCGAGGTGCCAGCGGGTGCAGGCTGCCCGGCCAGCAGACAGCAGCGATGGGGATGGGATGGGAGCAGGGTGGACCCGGGAAGGGCCAGGACACCTTTCACCCACGGCATCTTCACCCTGTCCACTGGGGGGCACTGCCCAGCGCTGTGGTGCCCCCAGACCCTGCCCACTAGTCCCTACGTGCCGGGAGGCAGGGGCCCAGAGAGCTGGGCAGGGCGGCCCCCAGATGCCGCTGCTACCACAGCACGGGGCTGTCGAGGTTGGCGTAGCCGGGCTCCGCCCGCAGCTTCCAGTAGGTGTCGTTGCTGACCCAGGACTCCTTGCCGCCGGGGTCTGTCTGCTGCCTGCCGGGGAGAGGGGAGGGGGAAGGATGTGGTCAGACACAGGGAGTCCAGGGGCCACCCCAGAGAGCCGGGCAAACAACCGTGGACCGGGCCTTCCGACTAACCTGGGCCCAGCGTCCAGGCCCAAACCCCAACTCGCTCCTCCCCAAATATCCCAGGGGCTCCTCAGCTTGCCCCCCATTTCTGAGGCTCAGGCCTCTCCCAGACCCCAGTTTCCTGCGATCACATTGTGGCTTTGGCATAAGCCAGGACCCGGGGGTCCCACAACCCCCCAGAGCGGCGCCCAGCCCCCTAGGGTCTCCTCCTCAGAGCGGGGCAGGGACGGGGCTCCCAGGAGCTGGGCAGGCAGCCGGTACCTGAAGAAACGCGCCTGGTGGAAGATGTTGTTATCCTCCATGACCCTGCGCCGGTCTCTCTGCAGCTGCTCGATCCGGCGCTTTTGGGACTCTGCCGCCTGCACGTTGCCTTCCTCCAGATACCTAGTGGGGGGGGGAATCACTCCTGCAATGAGCTGTGGGGTCTCAGCTATACCCCTCTATCACCCCCCCCCCAGGAGCTGCGCGAGGCCCAGCGGGTCAGAAGAGGGGGGCCACTCACCGCTGGTCGGGGCGCAGCCGCGTGTCCGTGGAGGGCAGGAAACGCTTGAGCTCCGGCGTCAGCTCGTTCAGCTCCAGGGCGAACTGCGTGAAGCCGTAGTTCTTCTCGAGCTCTCGGGGCATGGGGTCTGCGGGGGGGGCGGGTGTGTGTGTTTACACCGATCCGGCCTCTGAGCACCCCTCCCAGTCCAAGCCTCCACCCTCGGATAGCACCCGCCCCCTCTGCAGGGGCCAGTTTCCCAGTCCCCTATGGAGAGCCAGCCCCTATGGGGTGGGGAGGTCTGTCCCTGCAGGGGGCGGTTTCCCAGTCCCCTATAGAAGACCGGCCCCCCCAGCAAGAAGGGACAGCAGTGCTGACACCCTCCCCCCCCCGTTCCTTACTGGGTTTCCAGAGGCACTGCCCGGTGGGGGAGGCGCCGCGGTACAGCCCCTCGTGCCACTTGCCGAAGAGCCGGTGGATCACCTGCCCCCCGCGGCTCAGCACGGCCCCCTGCACCTCGTTCACGCTGGAGCTCCAATACCGGGCCTGTCGGAGGAGGGGAGGGGTTAGGGGGGAGACGCCTCGCGGGGGAGGGGGGGAGAGACGGCTGGGGTTGGAGGCTGGAGGGGAGGTGTGGGGGACGTGGGGCCCGGCCCCACTCTAGGGGGTGGGAGGCTGGAGGGGGTCGTGGGGGACCGTGGGGGCCACAGGGGGGAGGTAGGAGGCTGGAGGGGACTGTGGGGGCTGTGGGGGCCGCAGGGGGGAGGGGGGGGGACGCGTGGAGGGGACCACTGGGGCCGTGGGGCCCAGCCCCCCACCTTGCAGAAGGTGATCTTGCAGTGGTAGCTGCTGTCCCGGACGTTGCGGATCAGGACTTCGCCGTAATGCTCGATCCAGCGCTGCCCGCTCAGGATGTTGTGGATACAGGACGTCACCTTGTTCCACTCAAAGTGGTCCCCGAACCTTGGCCAGCGAGAGAGACAGTTACCGGGCGCTGGGGGGGGGGGGAACAGGGGCACAGGGCAGGGGCTCACCAGCCCCAGGGGTGACTCACCTGGGCAGCTTGACATTCACGGTCCCCACGGGGACGATCTCCAGGGACTTGCCCCAGAATTTATTTTTCCACTTCATGTCTGGAGGGAGCAGAGAAAGACGGCCGTGTGCTCAGGGCAGCTCTGACCCAAACCCGCGCTCCTGAGCACGGAGGAGCCCCCCTCCCACAGGGCTCGGACCCACCCCAGCCCCTGGTCCCGCAGCCCTGAGCGCAGGGAATCCCGCTGGCCGGACGGTTCTGACCCCGCCCCGATGCCCTGGTGCTCACCTTGCCAGAAGATGAAGTTGTCTGACTCTGCGTGGCAGGCGGAGACGGGCGGGTGGTGGCAAACCTGCAGGCAGTGGGGAGAGAAAGGAAGAGCCGTGCCGCTGTGTCCTCTGTCTGGAGAGCCGGGGGTGGGGGGAGCTGTAATCCCCCCACCCTCTGCACAAGAGCTTTCTCTCCTCTGCAGCCCCCACCCCCCATCTCCGTTCTCAGCTATGGACACCTCTCCTCTGTGATACAAAATAACGCTAGGCGAATCCCCACCAGCTGCGAGCAGTACGGTGCTCATGACACACACAGCAGGCAGTTTGGATTCTGCCCAGGAGAGGGCAGGGGTGTCACGTGCACAGTTTGTTACAGTGGCTGACTCCTGTCCTTTTGTCCCACCTCCCCAGCCTGGCCGGCTGGCTTAGTACCTGCTCGCTGATGAAGCGGAAGCCTTTGTCCGGCCGAACGCACTCATATGTCTCGCCCAGGACGGGGTTAAAGGGTTTGCTGCCCGCACGGTAATAGGTGGAAGCGTAGGCAGAGACAGCAAAGGCAGCGACGCAGACCTGGGGGGAGAGAGTCACTGGGGCCTGATCCATATTCGGCCATAACGCCCAGGCCCCAGGGCAGGTGGTGCTGTGGGTAGGGCTAAGAGGGTGGAGAGGCAGCTTCGGGGAGAGACGGGTTCCATTCATCTAGTGGAGGTGGGACCATGAGGTAAGAGCTATGGAGGGGTGGAACTCCCTGCTGCAGAGCGACTGGATTAGACATTTCTAGGAATGAGGACAAATGGCTGCGGAAGGAGCTGCCCGGGCCTTTGACCCTCATGGTTCAGGGCCCGAGCTGGAGGGGTCAGGAAGGTATGTGGCCAGCCGCACAGTAGTGTATGGCTTTTACTTCTTCCCACGAACCCCCCGCCCCCGGGGATGGGCTAGGCCAAAGACGGGACCCCCGGGAACTGCTCTGGTGTGGCGAGAGCGGGGCAGGAGGGGCAGAGACGGGGGCCGTACCAGGCGCTCGCAGGGGTCGGCGCAGCGGCTGGCGGCGTCCAGCAGGGCGCTGTACTCCAGCTCCTCGCAGAGCCGCTGCAGGGTGTTGAGCGGCTCGTTGAGCTGCACTGGCATGGACACCTTGGACAGGTCCTTGCCCACGTTGTTGCGCAGGATGTTCCACAGGCTGACGTCGCCGGCGGGGACGCTGGGGGCCGGCAGACAGCTCCGGCGCGGGAGCCTCGCGGGCAGCAGCACGGGCAGGGGAAGGGGCAGGGCCAGGGGAGCCGGCAGCACCCCAACTCCCGGCTCGGACGCGCACGGCGCAGGCCCCCCGTCCGCCGCGCCTCGGCCTGCTGGGGGCAGACATGTGAGTCACCTGGGCCCTCCCCCTAGCCCGTCCCCCTCCCTCAGCTATCGCCCCCCGACTTCTCCCCCTCCCCCCAACCTCCCCTAGCCATCGGCGGCCCCCCAGCCTGCCCCCCTCCCCGCAGCCAACCCCCAGCCTGGCCCTCTCCCAACCCATCACCTGCCAACCTCCCCCCACCCATCGGCCCCCCAACCTGCCCCCTCCCTGCAGTCATCCCCCCCCCAGCCTGCACCCCTCCTTGCAGCCATCAGCCCCCCAGCCTGTCCACCTCCCTCAGCTATTGACCCCAAGCTTCTCCCCCTAGCCATCAGCCCCCCCAGCCTGGCCCCTCCCCCAGCCATCACCCCTTAACCTGCCCCCCTCCCCGCAG